GGGGGGGGTCAATAGTGGGAGGGCTCCTAGTGTCCTGGCCCCACTGCTGGACCTCCTGATGGCACCTGGTATTTCTGGCCACTGTGTGACACAGAGTGTTGGACTGGATGGGCCATTGGCCTGATCCAACATTGGCTTCTATTATGTTTTTAAGGTGACAGGCAGAGTCCTGAGACATACTGATGTCATTCCCTGTGTGCCCAGTAGTGACAGCAACATGTTGCCAGAGATGCTCTAGCATTTGGGCAAAACTCTACAGTTAAACCAGAGAGTTTTCCCAAATGCTAGAGTGTTCCTGACAATGTACTGACCTCACTTCTGGGCACATGGGGAATTATGTCAGCGTGTTGCTGGTGATGTCATTATGTCATCAGCAAGGCCCTCCCTCCTGAAAAGTCTCCTGCTGGTTGGTAGTCTTGTGCTTGCAACGCTATGATGCGGATAAAAATTAGGCAAAGAGAAATGAATTTAAACATCTTGCATTTTCTCTATACTCAGATGCTGTAGTCTTTTGCTGCTCAACTGTATGCTTTTTTCCTTGTGTACCAATTGCATGCTATGTCCTTTAAGATAAAAATGTCTTTTTCTGAAACTGGAGTTATTTTGTGCTCTCTCGAACCACAAAAAGCCCTATGCCTTGGTTGACGGTTATAAATGTATAACTGAGAGAAAGGAGGTACCTGCCTATCTGAGAATGTCTCTGTGATTTCAAGATTTTCCCTCCAACCTCCCTGCCGGTTGAACTGAGAAAGAGATTCTGAATCTTAATGGAGAGTCTGACTGTAGGCTGTCAGACTGCAATTCTATTAACAACCTACTGATGGCACCAGAGATCAAACTCTATTTGTGAAAGGGAAGGCACAGGATAAAAGGGAAGTCATCTCCTCAGTGTTGCCTAGATTTTAAGACCCCAACCAGCAGATTAAATCCCTCATTCCTCATGGTAAAAACAAGTTTCTGATGGGTCATTTTACCACACACCCCAGGATCATTTGCAGTGCGGTTATGGGAGCGGCTGTGGCTCTGCTTTGTATGCAGAAGGTCCCAGGTTCAGTCCCCGGCATCCCCAGTTAAAAGGACTAGGCAGGAGGTGAAAGACCTCTGCCTTACTCTGGAGAGCTGCTGTCAGTCTGAGTAGACAATATTGACTTTGATGGACCAATGGTCTGATTCAGTATAAGGCAGATTGGTGTGTTCATATGCTATTGAGGATCCCAGAGTTTACTAACAGCATTTTTGTTGCTTTGCTGACAATACTTAAAATACCTTTGCCTCTATGTAGTTGCTTAGTTCGACCAGACCACTGCACTTTGAATGTGAATTACTTCTAATTTTCAGCAGCATGTACTATTGTAGACTTGGATTTATGGTCATCATCTGTCAGTTCTATCCTCTCCTGGATTAACAGTGAGGCTGGTTTGTGGCCTCTCCTCTCTGGATAATAATCCGATTTTAAAGTATATTCTGAAATTATAGTTACCCTTGAGTTCATATGACTGTTAAATTTTATAATCCTGCTATTTTAAACTATGGATTGCCTATATATTTAAATGTTTTATTTTCCCTTATATGTCTAGAAATCCATGGGCTGAATTAAGAAAGAAAGAATTACTTCTTGTTAGACATCTTGAGATTAGCCAAGTTTGAAGTTGGTATAATTGCTGGCAACAAAGGACTGTTCCCCAACACACAGCCCCTTTTCATCTCTCTCAGTACCATCTGAGTAGTAAACACGATTATCCAGAAGTTCCACTCTTGTGGGTCCCGGCTTCATCGTTTCGCTGTGGTTTTTGTGTTTTCTTTTCATTTGCCAGTGTAAACTCTGAGGTTTTGCCTGTTTATATTCTGACATTGCTTCTCCCCACCCCCACTTGATCGTAAAAGGATTGATGTGGCTTGTAAAGAGATTAATGTCTCCAGGAGATGTTAAATTACAACCAAATAAAATCAGATGCCCTTCGAATAGGAGATCCTGCAGGAAGCCCCTTTCAAGAAGAGCCATCACTATAAATCTCTGCTGCCGCCCGAGTTCCTTATGACAAGCAGCTGTAAAGAATGTAATAGAATCACAGAACCAAAATGTCATTTAATAAATATCACGTGGCTTAGATAACAACTTGGATCCTTCTAATATTTCCATGGGCAAAAAAGGGGCACTTTCCACCATTTCCCCCCTCCCGTGGCAGACCTCAGACTCCCTGCAAGTTATTGCAAGTTATTCTATCCCCCAGGAACAGCATTTCACAGGGGGCATTTAGGGCTGTATTGAAGCAAGGGAAGTCATGCTCTGAGGACAGCAATCCTTTTGCCTGCAGAAATTGTAGCCTATGAAACAATGCGATATTTTAGAAATTGGCCCTCCAGGTCTTAAATATGGAGGTGGGCGTAGGGAGGAACTCCACGATTGAATGCCCTCTCATTTCAAAAACGCCCTGCCTATGGAAAGCAAGCATGTTGGGAAGAAGAATTCTATTGTAGCTTATTTCCTCATGTGCTTTATACTCCTTGCAGGGAATTTAATCCAACAGATCCCAAAGTTTTTAATGCAGCTACTGGGAGTGTGTGTGTGGGGTGGAGTTCTTATGAAATCCCCAAGAGAGATGATTTGTAAACTTTCCATTGCAGCAAAAATCTTGCTTGCTCAAAGACGGAAATGTAATAAATCCAGTCCCTTCACTAAAAAAAATTGATTGCTGGATGGATATGTTGCGTTGGGCTTGAGTTATTGCCTAAGATTGAGAGAAGGGGAGTTTTAGCTCTTTTGATTTGTGGAACGAATGTAAATTTTCCCCTCATGTTATTGGAAGAAGCATCATCATTTAGACTGGCTGCCAAAAATCTGGAACACCCTTCTGGCACATCAGATGATCATCCAGAGGGAAAGAATCTGATCTATGGGGAAGAACCTAATCTATGCGGGGGCAGGCCACCTTGAGGGTTTGCCCGCCCCCACAAGCTTTTCATTGGAACGCAGTGTGGTGTAGAGTTCCCAAGCCTCCAAACCCCTCATGGCACAACAACTTGTTACATAATTAATTTGGGTTGCCAGGCCCAGGAGAATGGGGGGTGGGGACATGGAGGGGGAGCGTCACATACAGGAAAACCTATCTAGGAATCACCTGGGGCACCTTGGGTCCCCCAACTTTTTTGAGCCAATGGGCACCTTTGGAATTAGGGCAGGGTCCCCCAACTTTTTTTGAGCCAATGGGCACCTTTGGAATTGTGACACAGTCACACAGTGTGCTGGGCAGAGCCACAAAATGGCTGCCACAAGAGGTAGAACCAGTTGTAAAATGGCTGCCGCAGCATACCTTCAGTCACACAGTGAAGATCCTTGGTCTGTGGTGGCAGCTACTGCCAAAACAACTTTTTTAAAAAAAATCTGCACTGCCAATCAAAAGCCCTACCTGGCTTTGCCCACTTTCTAAAAACACTTGCCAAGCGCCCAGAAAGGTGCCAGTAGTGCTGTGGCACCCATAGACACCATGTTGGGAACCAGTGACCTAGGGGACCTATGGCTGACAAATTCAATCCCATAAAGCAGAAACCCCATGCCCCTTTCTCTAGAAAGATGAGCAGGCTCCATTTTAATGTGGGCCATATAGCTGCAAGAAAATCTCTCCTTCTGTCCTTTATGAAGGAGTTTCAGAATACCATCACAGACCCCAGTTTAAGGAACTCTGTTTTGGAGGAATGTGTGATCATGCTGTCATCATATACTGTCTTGCTCTGGTTTAAATCACTACGTAGGCACACATTGTGGTGCTCTGGAACATGGCACTGGGGATCTATTGTCCATGGCATAATGACTTGGTTTTCCCATTACAAGCACTTTCCTTCTTTAAAAAAAAAAATGCACTTACGCTCTCAGCATGACTTTCTCTGCATTAGGGTCATAATCTGGCAGCCGGACATCAAACATTCGGTCCATTAAAAGGCGTGCGTATTGACCAAAGTCTAGTTTGCAGCGGGATTCCCAAAGCACTGCATCATAGGAACGGGGGTCCAATAAGACTGTGATGAATTTCCCTGCAGCTTTAATCTTCAAGAAAAACAACCAAGCCAGTCACAAAACATATGAATCTTGCCATGTTTGAATGAAAGGAAATTAGTGCAGTTTTACAAGCAAACAAAAATGATGCAAAACAAGACATCTCTAAGATGGCCTCCTGATTTTGTTCAGTTGTTTTCAGTGTTATCCAGCACAAAACAAAATCAATCGTATTTACTGTGAAAGTGAAAAAATGCACTGCAAGCATAATTTTGTTCATTCTCACAGTATGAATTCTGTTTTATAAATGGAAGACTGAGCTGAGAGACACTGAAAAGGGGGAAACCAGAAGGTGTGGGTAAACCCTCAATCCAACACTACCCACCAAATAGCCATATCAATAGATGACCACCTCAGACTAGGACCTGGGAAACCCAGGTTCAAACTCCCAATCTACCACAGACTGTAGAACTATTTCTTTGTACCAAGCACACCATTACTCTAAAAGGGATAGTAGAGCTATTTAGGTGGATAGGTCATTTCCTCTATATCCTTCCTTTTGTGTGTTCTGCTACAGTCTCTTTGTATATCCAGAAATGCTGTTCTCAGGGAGATCCTTCCTTCTGGCTAACTCCTTCTCTTCCCGCTTCTTTGTTTAACTTTATTTGTTTAATCTCTGTGAGGGCAAGATGTCCTCTCTACATCTCTCTCCATTCTAGCCAAGAGAGATCGGTAGAAGGCTTTCCCCTCCTTTCCCATCATAGAATAGTGTTCCTTAACAATAAGTAGATTGCTAACCTCCCACTATGGCAAGAGGCCTCCTGCTGGCAGCCCTTGTTGCCCACTGCCCCTTGGAACAGCAGTGGGAGAAAAACATTATAAAGTTGCTGTTGTGTGCGCTGTGACATAACTTCTGAGGGAAACCAACCTGGAAGTGAGACTGGATTGCTCTAAGAATCACTGCAAACTCTATGGTTTTAACTTTAACTGGTTTTACCATAGAGTTTCTGGCAATTAGTAACTTCCATAGCACATAACTTCTGGGTTTTCCCTAAAGTGATGTAATGGTGCAGATGACAGTGCCCCCCATGTCCACACCCTCAAAGCTCTGGTTGCTAGGCGTGGCCTGACATCCCTAACAATACAGGATATTCATTTCCTTTCTAAAGCAACAAGACTTATGTGGACTTTATTCCTAAAGCAGCCTCTCCCTTGCTGAGCAAACCAGCTCTAAGTTAACACACTGAGCCATAAAGCTCTTTGGTTAACCCTAGGTCAGTCACTTTCTCAGCATAACTTACCACACAGCATTGCTGTCAGCATAGCGTGGAAGAGGGGTAAGGTCCTTCAACAAAGGGTGGAAGGGGAAAATGATACAGTCATATAAATGTGTGTGCCAATGTTAAGGCAAGCGTTACAGGATGTAAGACGTCAGCTGCAGAAAATGAACAGGATATACTCACTGTGAAAATATCACCATGTTTCTGCTTCATTGCAGAGAGGAACTTGCCAGCATCTTTTCCGAATTCCAGAGCATGCCCAAGCCATGGAACAAAGCCTTTATCAAGTGGTGGTTCCCCCAAGAGCCTGGAAAGGAGAGCGATACACACTTTTTCATAATCTTCTTGCTCAATCGTCCCCGATCCCATAGCTAAAATTTTATCCTGCATTCATAGCCCTAGGGCTAACCATACAAAACCACAATACAAAAACAACGCTAGTAACAAAAGCAACAATAGCAGAGAACGATACAAGAATAAATTCCAGACATGATCAGGCAGCCCAGATGGCAATGGCTTGAGATGCAGGAGATCTTGGAGATCTTTTTCCTTAAAGAGCTCATGCTAGGGGCTCAAGACAACTGAGTATGGCACTGAAGGGGAGGTTAACCCTTTCTCCTCTACACCATTTCCCCTTTAACTGTTTGAAACCTTGATAGACAAGTTCATTTTTTCCTGCTAGACTTAAAATGGTTCAGGAGTGATGATTCTCACGATGGAGGGAAGTAAGCAGTGGGATTACATAGATTCATGGAGGAAAGTTAATCAGTGGCCACTAGCCATGGTGATCGTGGGGAATCTCCCCATTCAGAGGCACTAATCCTCTGAATCCCAGAGCCAGGAGGCAACATCAGGGGAAGACTTCGGCCTCTATGCCCTGTTGTTGGTTGACCACTGTGTGAGACAAAATGCTGGAGTAGATACACTATTGGTCTAGGGTTGCCAGGCACAATTGTCACACCAGCAGGGGGATTTGGGGGGCTGTCCAGGAATCAGTGGTGACATCCCCCACACGATGACATCACACGGAAGTGACAACATTGTGTCAGTGACATTGGGGGATGTTCTGCTTTTGGGTTAGACTCTATGACTAAAATTGGGCTCAAACCATAGAGTTTTGCCCAAAAAGCAGAATGCCAATGTGTGACATCGCTGATGCAAAGATGTCACTTCCACGCAACATGGCTGTTCGGGGGTGGGGCTTCCCCATCAACCAGCTGGCCGGTGGCGGGCAGATGCCCTGAAAATCAGGGGATTCCCCGCCCAGACCAGGAGCCTGGCAACCCTACATTGGTCTGATCCAGCAGGGCTCTTCTTATGTTTTTATTTCTCCCAGGGAAATGCCAGGGTGGGAGGACTGACCAACCCAAATCACTTCCCTCCTCTGTGGCTGCTTTTTGAGAAAACAGGAAATGTTGAGAGACCGTGTCAGGGAGTCTTTGCGGTGTTTTATAACACAATTAACATCCATAAAAACCCAATAAAACAAAAAAATTAAAACCCAATAAAAACAATAAAACTTCACTTAAAAAGATAATAAGAAGCAGGTCTCTGAAAAGGCAGCACATAAATTTTCTAAATAAAATAAAATAAAATAAATTCCCTATTATGACCGCTCCCCTGTCACACCATTTCTTACTGATCTAACTCACTCAAGATCTTCACATCCATCCAGAAGGCCTTTAGGGAAGCAGCCCTTCTCAAATCCTGAGGGAGGGAATTCCCAAGTTGGGGAGCAATTGCCACCCCCCCACACACACACAGTCCAATGGTACCTCTGCTAAGGATAGCACATGGAGAAAGGCCTTTTGGGCTGACCTCAACTCTTGGGTTGGTTAATAAAAGTGGAGGTGTTCCTTCAGTCTCCAAGCCAACCAGGAATGTAATTCTGACATCATGAAGGGGAAGTGTCTAGTAGCAGAGGAGTAGAACATTTTTTTTAAAGCTGCCAGCAACTCAAGAGAGGCTGAGAATGCTTCTCTCCAAACAGAAACAGGCTGCCTCTTGGGTGAAGAGGGACCCAGCTAGGATTACCAACCACCAAGAGTTGTCTCAGAATTTGGGTGGACAACTAATGTCCAGACAACAGAAATCACTTTCCTTGGAGCAAATGGCTAATTTGGAGGATAGACTCTATGGTCTTATATGCTGTTGAGGACCCTCCCTTCCCCAAGCCCCACCTCCCCAAGCACACACACACACACACACACACACAAATCTCGGTGGACTTCCCTGACTGGAGATGAATCTCTGCTTACAATTGATCTCCAAACTACAGAAAGCAATTCCCATGGAGGAAATGGCAGCTTTAGAGGGTGGACTCTATTTCATTGCATCCCCTCTGAGCTCTATCTGCTGCCCCCCACTCACTGCCCCCAAATCTTCAGACGTTTCCCTTCTTGGGAAACAGGGGCTGGCAACCCTAGACACAGCATCAGTGTTATGGATGGAGGGAAGAGGTTGCTATGCAGGCACACAAGCAAACAGGCCCTTCCCTGTAAAACCCCATTATTGAGCAATGGGTACAAAGAGATGCACCTGCTTCCTGCTCTAGCTGGAGAATGCGGAGCCTTGCTGGAACTTAGAAAGAATGGTCCCTAATACATTTTTATCCAACCCTCCCTCCAGGAAGCTCAGAGGGACAAAAATGTTAACCATTCCTCCATTTTATCCTCACAACACTCCTGTGAGGAAGCTTAGGCCGAGGGTCAAACTTGACGTGATGGCATCCTTGTGGCTGACACAAGGAAGGACGGTCCCACCAGTTGAAAATCATATAAAAATGCCCCTCACCAGCACCTTGTCAACTGCCAATATGGCGGCTGCTCTGGTACCTGAAAAAGTAAAAGGGAGCAGCACCACACTGGCGGCCTGATCTGAGGCGTTTTGAAATTGCTTTTAAATGGCAGCGGCATCCTTGTGATGCTGTCCTCATCAAGTTTGGCCCGGAGAAAGAGTGACTGGCAAGGTTCACCAGCAAACGTCACAGCAAAGCAACTAGAAGTAGGCATTTATTCATCTAAATTGTACGCGGATTATTTTTTAAAAATCATTATAAGTAATTATGTGTAGTAAGCCTATTCTGTATATCTTCAGCAAAGTCTTCAATGTAGCACAATCCTAAATGAAGGAAAGTGGTTTATTTTTTATTTTACAAGGAAACCTTTCAGAGCTAACGGATGTTATCACACACACCCTTTTTTTTTTTCCTGGCAGGATACCTGTGCATCTTCCCAAGGGGGGTGGGGTGGGGATTTCTGCATGTCTGATAGAAGCAAACTGACACAGGCTTTCCTGGAGAAAGATATCCTGTCTGTTTAATAGGCTGGGGAAACAAGTTGGCAAGGTATCACCTGATTTAATAATAAGAACAATAATAGTCTTATTGTCTGGGCAGTTGAAGCTTTTCATGGCAGTTGAAGCTTTTCATTTTAAATAACATCCCCTGGTAAACAACATCCCACTTAGCCAGGGCTGCCCATTCAATAGAGAAAAAAGTGAGCTTTTTGCAAGAATTTGCAAGAAATACAGCCCAAGGGGTAAGCTCTGTCAGCTCAAGGAAGAACCGGGTTTGATTCCCCAATCCTCCACATGCAGCTGCTGGTGTGACCTTGGGTCAGTCATAAGTTCTTTCAGAGCTGTTCTCTCAAGGACAGTTCTCGAGAGAGCTCTCTCAGCCTCACCTACCTCACAGGGTGTCTGTTGTGGGGAGGGGAAGGGAAAGGAGATTGTAAGCCATTCTGAGATTCCTTCGGGTAGTGAAAGGCGGGGTATGATTCCCTCCTCCTCCTTGTCTAGAGATGCACTGTAATACCAAGAGAACTCTAAGCTTGACCCTGTGGTAACCCTAAAGCCTCTGGATGAGGCTTCTCTGCCCCCTTTTGTCCCCCTCAAGCGCTAGAGCCCTACACCATCCCATCACTTAGGCTTGCCAAATGGTCAGGCTGGCCCTGCATTTTGCCTCTGTTAAAGGGACAAGACATTTTTTTCAAGGCAGTCAGCAACCGCACATGCCAGTGAGGGGCCTCTTCATCTATTTTTGCCTGTCAGATGGTTGGTAAAGGTATAAGAGCCCTGCCAGAAAAAACTGGCACTGAAAGTATGAACTTGCCAAGCAATCTGCTTTTATTTTTATATGCAAAGGCGAAATGTGTTGCTTTTTCTTCCACTGCACGCTAACACATGCATGGGTATGTTCTTTGTGCCAGGTTTTGCTTTTTTAAAAAGTAAATATATATTAGCTTAGCCATGGTCCATGGAAAGGAGGAAGGTTTCCTTCTCCCTCCCACCCTGCAGCAGATATCTCAGTTTTGCCCTCCTCCCCTTTCCTTCTTATCAGAAGCAGTACAACCAAAGACAGGAAATCAGACATGACAAGTTTGTTCTGCAATGACAAGAAACATTTTCTCCAGGTTTGCACCTGTGTGCCAACTGTTTGCCATAATTTAGGGGTACCATATTTTGAAAAGCAAAGAAGAGGACATATTTCTGAAGTGACGACTTCAAACAAGCAATCACTATGACAAATCTCATTTTAAATACCCCCTACTATTTAAACTGTATAATTGGTTGGAAGGTTAGGACTATTCCTAACCTTCCAACCAAAAAAGAGGACATTTTCATCAGTTTTTTAACAAGAGCCCAAAAGAGGACAGACATACACACAAAAAAAGGACATGTCCTCTAAAAAGAGGACAGCTGGTAACCCTACATAACTGGAACACAGGAAGTTTTGCACATGCCATATTAACTAACAACTCTTAATTGAAATCAATTTCTGGATTCCTCCATGGATTTTTGCTAACATGAACGTGTTTAAAAGGACAGCTCTTGCACAGTAAAGAGATTGTGTTGTGACTCAGGACAGGTCCAAAGCCCCACAAAACCTTTATTAGTGCAGCCACTGCTTCAGGTTAGGGTTGCCAACCTCCAGGTGGTGGCTGAATACCTCCTGCTATTACAACTGATCTCAAGGCGACAGCTGGAGAAAATGGCTGCATCAGAAGGTGGACTCTATGGCATTACATCCCACTGAAGAATCTCTTGCCAGAGGCACTGCCTTTACTCTTGGGTAGCCCCAATAGCACGGGTACCCCACTTTCTAACCTCTAAGTGGAAATGCCAGGTTGCACCAGGGCAGGGTGCTCAAAGTCTTTCAGCATGCAAAACAGAATGAGGCAATTGCGGGGAGGGGGTGTGGATAAAGAAGTAAAAATGAAAGAAATCCCGAGCCTGTTTAGCTACAAAGAGAGAGACTGGCTGTCTTTATGCTCCCTCTAAGCTGTGGAGTCCTGTGAGCAAAAGTTC